TGCACTTGGTCTTCTTGAACTTCATGTGGTTCACAAAGGGCCAACTTGCCAGCCTGTCAAGGTCCCTCTGGATGGCATCCTTTCCCGGCAGGATGTCGACCACACCACACAGCTTGCTGTTGTCGGCAAATTTGCTGAGGGTGCACTCAATCCCACTGTCCATGTTGCCAACAAAGATGTTAAACAGCACCGGTCCCAGTACCAACCCCTGAGGAGCACCACTTGTCACTGTTCTCCACTTGGACATTGAGCCGTTGACCACAACTCCTTGAGTGTGACCATCCAGCCAATTCCTTATCCACCGAGTGGTCGATCCATCAAATCCATATCTCTCCAATTTAGAGACAAGGATGTCATGCAGGACAGTGTCAAATGCCTTGTACAAGTCCATGTTGTGGATTTTTTTCTAGCTCAGAGTTGTTCCTGCAGAATCTGTTACTGTGCAGAGAGCTAAGTAGTAGTTTCTTTGGCCTCAACAGGATTGATGCAACTTCACTTCAGCTGCTGCCTAAGACCAGCAACTGACTTAACTCAGAGCCTGTGAGGAGGCACTAACTTTGCCTCTGACTGATAAATATTACTCCACCACTCTGGACAGTAATTCATTACTATGATTTCAAGCTTTGTCTTTAAGCATATTTTACTCCTTTTATAATCTGTCCTTTGAAATAATGTGACTACTGGTCATCCTGGTCCAGTTTCTGGCCATTCTAGATCTTTCTTACATTTTCCTAGAGCTGCAAGACAGACATTTGAGTTAGTTACCAACTGGGTAACTCCCCAGCCTGCAGCTGGCACAGCTACCTAGGCATGACTCTGCATTGCAAAGAATAGCAGCATTGCCTAAGTGAAAAAGCAGAGTACAGAACAATTTTGATAGGAGCTGCATTGACAGAGTTGGGGAAAGGATAGAAAGTTTACTTCCAAAGCACAATAGAAATGTATAAGACTCATTTTTCTGTAACATTGTTTGCTAATAAGTTTGCCTTGTAAACAGAATAGCAATAGTAGCATGTTTAATGAGTTAGGAATCATGCTACGAATAAAGCTTGAATTCTTAAAGGATTCATCATCTCCAGTAATTTCCGTTTTTAAGAACATATATTTCTAGAACATGTTGCAATGTGTTTTGTTTCTATTATAGTCAAGCCTGAAACTGCAAGATGCAAAGATCTCATATAAAAGCATTCCACGTTCTCAATTGCTTGTAATGGGTGTTAAAGGAGTTTGTTTATTTCAGGGCACTGACCTCTTTCATAAAAGCTGATGTTCATATTCAGAAAAATATGCTGTTCAAATCAATGTTACGAAACTTTAAAACTTGAATGCCATACAAGTAAGCACAATGCATGAAATAGTCCCTCATGTTTTCCCTCCTGTGTTCATTTCTTTCAGTGCTGGAGTTGGCAGGACTGGCTGTTTCATTGTGATAGATGCCATGTTGGAGAGAATAAAGCATGAAAAGACTGTAGATATTTATGGCCACGTAACTCTAATGAGAGCACAGAGGAATTACATGGTTCAAACTGAGGACCAATACATCTTTATCCACGATGCACTGCTGGAAGCAGTGACATGTGGAAATACCGAAGTGCCAGCCAGAAACCTGTATGCTTATATCCAGAAGCTGACACAGATTGAAACAGGCGAGAATGTCACAGGAATGGAACTGGAATTTAAGGTACTGGGATTTTATTTTGTGGGGAACCAAAATCAAATGCTGTAACACTTAATGCGGCTCTGTCCTCCACCAGTGGTTTCCAGTAATCAAATGTTAAGACATTGGCAGACTAAAATTTTAAATTAGGAAGATGGTCCTTTGTAAAATTTACCATTCTATCTTCAAGTGGTGTCCAGACAAGAAGCGTTCAGTGAAGGTGTTTTAACCCTGCTGTACCTTATTGTTTCAATAGCTTGAAATGTGTGTTTGTGTAATGGTTTAATGCTCAAATTTGTCCATACGCATTAACGGAGCAGACATAAAACTTTTATAAGGTGTTAAGGGAAGCTTTACAAATATTTGAGTAATGCAATAAAATATGGAAAAGTAAGCATCTGAAATTGAAATTATCTGTTAATGTATAATGAGCTGAAATCGTAAAATCTGATAATGTCATTTGGTTTTGTTATATCTGACCTCAATTCTTTTTATTTATTTTCAAAAGCGTCTTGCTAGCTCTAAGGCTCACACTTCAAGATTCATCAGTGCCAACCTTCCGTGTAATAAATTCAAAAATCGCCTTGTCAATATTATGCCATACGAGTCTACAAGGGTATGCTTGCAGCCAATCCGAGGAGTAGAAGGCTCTGATTATATTAATGCCAGTTTCATTGATGGATACAGGTACTAATGTTGATTTGTTCTCATGTGGACTGCTTTAAAAGTTTACAAAATTATGTATGTAATTATACTGAAAATAACAAAATTTAGTATTGAACTTCAGTAGTGTTTATTATCTGTGCATGCCATGTTTGATTGGGTGTTTTTTTAAATATTAATAAAAGGGTTAGATTTTTACCCATGCAATAGAGGAAAATTCTGTAAATGACATAGAGTCTTGAAAGTTATATATTTTTACCTACCTTTAAACCATTGAGAACTCCCAGTATGTTTTACATGCTGAAAGTTACTGCACATTCATAATTTGGAACCTCTATTCCTTCACAACAATCTGCTTAAACAGATACATAGAAATAATATAGAGGAGATACACTCCCTATGTCAAGGTGATAACTTATGATGTTGGAACTCATTAAAACTAGACATAGCTGCCAAAAGCATTTTATACATAAACAGTTGTGTAGCCCACTAGCATCTTCATGACAACAGGGAGCAATATGCCCTCAGCTGACTAAGCAGCTGGTAGAAAAAGGCAGGAAGGAGAAGCTGTACAGTTTCCCTAAGGCAGTTTAGGTGTACCTGAGTATCTGAACCCACAAAGATCAGTTTCTGAGCCCCTGCTCATAATTGGAAACACCTTTCATCTCCACCGTCATCCACAAAGGTGTTTCTGTTGACTGTAAGAAGCAAGAACAACATGAACTCGTCATCATCTTATAAAGCTCCTGATCCAGAAGCTTTTAACAGCTTGGTGGTAGCTTCCACTAGTAGTGTTTTCAGGCCTGGAAATGCAGTGCACTCCATCCCTGAAATTTCTTCCTGCCTTACTTTTGCTGGAGGCATCAGACTGTTGAAAAGGAGTTAATAAAGAAACTGCTTGATGCTATAATTCCTAAACTTAATAGATTGTTAGACAGTTATTTCTACAAAATGAACCAGCACAACTAAGTGTTTCTTAAGTGCTTTTTACAGCACACAAAATTGAGCGATTAGAGTTGCATTAAAATTTGAATAATAATGGTAAAGACATACATCATAATATTAACAGAGTAATTTCCCTTACAAAGTTCTAAAAATAGAAAGACATAGTTTGATTAAACAATCATAAAAGGTTTCAATGTGCTTATTATTAATAGTATATAAATTTTTTCTCTAGATAGTATTTACATATAAACAATAACATGTATCAATTTGATTTTTTTATTAAAATATTTTTCTTAATTTACTTCATTTTCAATATAGACAACAAAAAGCTTACATAGCTACACAGGGTCCTTTAGCAGAAACAACCGAAGACTTCTGGAGAATGCTCTGGGAGCATAATTCTACAATTGTGGTCATGCTCACTAAGCTACGAGAAATGGGCAGAGTAAGTAGGGCTGTAATATTCCTTTACTAAAATGTTTGTTATAATGGTTTTTTATTAAAATATTTCATTATGGGAATTTCTAAAGATAAAGGTAAGGATTTAGGGTCCTTCTACTTTTGAAATGTCAGTGGCATTATTGATCACCAGGTGTAAGGTCTTCCAGTCTGTAGATGTGTTGCAATAAACAGGCTAGACATGGCATTTTGTTGTGGGACACACTAAGATTCAGCAACTGAGTTTGCATGTTGATATTCCAAAGTATGCAGAGAGAGCATTGCTGTCTGTTGAACAATGAGGATTTCTTATTTGGAAACTTCTCTTTTGCAGTGTCTGGTTTTAACAATGTTAAAAGCAAGTGTGATATTTTTGAGATCTGAATATTTTCTGTATGGTCATAGCGCTGAGCTTTAATGTTTCAGCACTCAATTTACAGTCCTAAACTCATTCAAGTGTTGCTTTTTGTAATGGAAAGAATGAAGCAGTTTACTATCTGGACAGGATTGCATCAAGGAAAAACTGGTATGTGATAAGTGAAATCTGAGTCAGGCCATGTATTTGGGGAATAGAGAAGATTCAGGACATGGCTAGTTCAGGCAAAGAGACAGTCTTGACTGAGGCCAGGGGGACTTGCTTCAACAGGGAAGAAGAAAGAAAACTGAAGGTGGCCTCAAGATCTAAATTCCATTCTGTATTGAAAATTAGGGTAGGGACAGCTCTTGTCACTGATAAATAATAGAACTGAGTAGAATTATAAATGAGTTCAGATGTACAGCGACCACAGAGAACCTCTTTGCAATGTAATATTGAAGATCATTTTTTATTCTAGGTATGGAACTTCATGTTCACAGCAAGACAAACAGTTCATGTTCCTGTCACTAACGGCGCTTTCCATGAGTGTCACATTTATCTGAGTGGAGAAGGGTTTATAGCAGTTTATGGTAGTGGGCTCCAGTAACAGTATTTTGCTTTGTTACTTTGTAGGAAAAATGCCACCAGTACTGGCCTGCAGAGCGCTCAGCCAGATATCAGTATTTTGTGGTAGATCCAATGGCAGAGTACAACATGCCACAGTATATTCTGAGGGAATTCAAGGTTACAGATGCAAGGGTAAGTTCACATAGCATTACACTATTTCACGTAAGTTTAAAAGGAAATGTCAATTTCTTTCTTTTCTCCTCTTTTTTTTAATTTTTATTATTATTAGAAAAACCTTAAGGGTGTTCTTTCTACAAGCAATAGGCAAAAGGCAGATAAAGTTTTTATGGGATCTTTATGTAAGAACAATTGACTTCATTCAGATCTAACATGTGGGCAGCACAACTTTGTAAAGTTCTGAATTTTTATTTGTGCTGAAATAAATTAGATGATTTGAGGACCATTTTCCCTTTTTTCCTCATTTCTCCCTTGAACATTTTTTGGGGCAAGTTTTGCACCACCATCTAGGCAGATTGAATATGAAGCTTAATGCATTGAGATTCAAAAACTGCAGGCAAATAGCATTTGTAAGAAGAGCTTGACAAGGTTTGCACATTATAATTTGATTTTTGGCATAGCATATTTTCAGCACTTTGTATATCTGCAGAGTAGATACATGCAGCTGTGACCCTAGCATCCTCATTTTCATACTGCATTTCTTATCTGAATTCCTGAGGCCAAAGCTGAGCACTGATATAAGATTAAATGTGCATAAACTTTAAATAAATATTTAGCATGTCTCAGACTTTTGATTTCTAGCACTTTAGTCTGCATGGCAGCAAAAATTACTGATAGCCTCCATTTCTGTAAGCACTGTAGAATACTAGTTGTTCAAGCAAAATAGCAGAGTGTACTGTCCAGGAATAACATGAGAGATTACTCAGAGTTGCCAGTCAGCACCCAAAATATTAGACTTTCTCATAGTTAGCTAGACTGCTGCTTTTAATGTTATTTTCAAGTAAAATTAAGTAGTACTAACAATTAGCTAGACAGTATTGTCACTAACCAAGTCAGCATATGCATATTTTAATTTGGCAAATGAAACTTAGGGGTGTGTTTCTGAAAAGAAACTGTAGACACACTGGATCTGATTTTCATTCTTTTTGAAATATCGTAATGATCACATGATTCATAGCTCCTGTAACATATTTGTGCTTAGCAAAAGTGGAGAACAGGGTCCTAACATCAGTCTTTAACCATACTTGTCAGCATAGACAGTCAAAGCCAATTTCACTACAACTGTGCTGATAGTGTTCATAGGTCATGTATTAAAAATCTGTTCCATCTCCAGCTGGAAGAGATTTTACATGACATAGTTCACAAAGCTCAGATCACAAAATAACAACAATGACAAAAAGCCACAGGTGTAGTTTAAGTGAAGTGTCTACCAACAGTATATATTTCCAGAAAAGTTCTTTGAAGAGTTTATAATGAACGAGGATACTTATGAAAGTCTGTTTACTTGTAGCTAGCAAACCAGTAAAAAATCTGAAAGGGTTGAATAACTGAATTTGCCAGAAATAGTTTTATTGGACCTAATATCAATACACCTCTTTTTAAAAGTGCCAAGCATACATGCACTTTGGCAGTCCTGTTGTACCATTTTACCATCACATATCATTGCTTCTCAAATCTTGTATACCTTGATGGTACAATTTTGGTTAAACAATGCACTGGCACGCTCGCAGGACCATCTTAAATTTTCTAGATATTCTGGGAAACTATAGCTCCTTCCAAATTTACTGGAAGCAGTGGGGACTACTTACCAGAATGCACATTATAGTTTTCCTGCAGTTAGGCTTTTATGGCTGTCACACCCAGTAATTGAGACCATCTAACTAAATTGTTGTATTCAAAGAGTAAGTGCTGCAGGCGGTTGTAACCAGCCTCTCTCCCTCTTATCTCCAAACCCATCTGTAAGGTTAGAATACCATCCATGCTGTGGCAGAGCCGAGCTGGCCAATTATTCCCCAGGGACAAGCAAAGAAGCACTCTGCCTTTGTAGGTGTCGGCAGCAAGTGTCTGGTGTGGAACTCCCTCTTATTTCTGAAACTGAGCTGTGAATTGTTGTAAGGTGAAATTGACCTCTGTAACTGTTTCAATTTACTGCTTCTGACTGCTTTGTACTCACTTTCTCTGTAAACTCCAGGGGTCAATATGTTAGGGCAGTCTCATTTAAGGCTAAACTATTAGTGATGGCTGTAAGAGACTATTATAAATTCTACAGCCTCATGAAAAGACAATTGAATATCCCCTGCGAGGAGCAAGAAGAAATCCAAACGGTCAGCTAGTCAATAGGACAATACATTAAAAGCCCTCTGCTCCATGTAGGGATCTGAAAGTTTGTATTTTGATAACCAACTCTGCAAACTGTCACAATATTCAAAAGTAAAGATTTTAATAAAATTTGGCATTTGTATTTGGACTGCTATTAGCAAGCATCTCATTAAAAGAAAGCAGCGCTGTTTATAATGTCAGTAGAACTGTGTAAGAAATTGCAGATCAGTTCCCAATATGCTTTAATGCTAGTCCAACATCAGAATAACTAATTTTACTTCTGTGCTCATTAAATAATAGCATTAAATAACAGAAGTTATTGCCATTAAAATGAAACCAGAGCAGTTTTCACAGACTTGCACTGGATTATTGAGTTATTACAATCCTGAAGTATGGTAATACAGTTGATGCCCCCTCCCGGGAAGTGTTCAAGGCCAGGTTGGGTGGGGCTTTGAGCAACTTGGTCCAGTGGAAGGTGTCCCTGCGCATCGCAGGGGAGTTGGAACTAGATGATCTTTAAGGTCCCTTCCAATCCAAACCATTCTAGGATTCTATGATTCTGTGGTTTAGATACACTTAAAAAAAAAAAAATGTTTATCATTAAATCTATTTTGCACATAGAAATTTGTGATCTTTCTAGTGACAACTTAGAATTAAGTAAAGCAGCATCTTTCTTATCTTTTCTACCCCTGGAGTTAATGTTATTCTAGCACAATTCCTGTCAGGTTCAAAAATTGCTGAAGAGCTTCCATCTCCTTAATCAACATGTTGCAAGTGAGTCAGACTAAAGGTTTTCTTTCTTTACCTTAGAGGAATGGGAGGTTATTTTGGAGGGAATCAACCTATTGTTTTGTCTTCTTAATTCATTAATTAATGTCATGTGCCTAAGAGTGTCTGAAGGGTGCAATTTCCTTATGTCTTCTTGGGGAAAAATGAGATCAGAGAGACCATTATGAGAGAAGTCTGCATTAACAAAATGTCATTTAGGTAGGAAATATTTAGTTCTTTTGTGTTGATGCCCACAAGAAATAAAATTGGGTAAATGATTTCAAACAGATTTTCTTTTTTTTTTTTTTTAAGTGGGCAAAAACATTCCACAGAAAGGGACTACTAAATTGTCACAGTGGTCTAGTGGGATATAAGGGATACTAAGTCAAAGAAGTGTAAGTGTGGCCTCTCATGGAGAAGTGGGTGGCACACACACTCATTTTCTGTTTTCCTTACTCATCTGAGACATGGGAGACAAAAACCCACAGTAAAAGAAGAAACATAAAAGCAAAGTATTAGGTTTTCCTTTGCATATTTTTAAAATCACTTCTATTTCATTTCAAAGATCTGTAATAGCTGAGTGATTGTGGTAGAGGGGGAAAAAAAAGAAAATTGTTCTTGCCTTCAGTGTAACTTGTTGCTTTTTTGAGGGATCTCCTGTAATCATTTCAATTTTTCATGAGTTTCATGTGGAAGACCATATTGAAGACATGGCAGGGTAGGTGCTTAGGAAACAGCATGTCCAGAGGCACTAGTTCACATCAGCAGCTCATGTGCCCATGCTTTTAAACATTTCAGCTGTGTAGATTGACAGTGTCAAAATCATCAAGAACAATGTTTGAAAATTCAGAACAAATTTTACTTCATCCATTTGTATTGTATTTTTTCTATTTATACGTCCTGACCATTTACACATTAAATAGGCATACAGCAGAAGTTGGTGTTTAATACTTCCAGTGGCTTCCTTATAGAAATAACCATGCTGCAGTATTCTGCAATTTTAAACAATCCTGTTGGTATTCCTAACCAAAGGTAATGAACAGCTTCAGCCAACTTGTTTTGTGAGAGAAAGAATTTTGACTGAGTCCAAGCTGTTAATGAATGAAATTACAATGATTGAAGGGAAGTTTATGATTTGTTAAACAACTGACATGTCTTGACCCATCTTCATCTAGGCAAATGTCCACCTCATATTGAAGATATCATCTGCAAAGAGGGCAATAACTAAACAAGTCTTATCAGTGAAGATATTCCTGCCATGCAGGAGATGAGCATATCTAGGAAATGTAGAGTCAGATTGGATGGCCTTATTCTACCTGTTCTGTATTAAAAGAAATTTGCAGTCCACAGGATTCAAAGCGTAACTTACCAAAACAATTGTATAACCTGGTGAGATTATTATGTCTTCAGCCACAGACACACTTTTTACACAGATGGAATGTCAGGCAACTCTCCTATCCAGTGCAGAAGGGAATCTATGCAATGTTGTTAATGAAACTGCACTTCTGGACCAATGTGTCCAAAATCACCAGCCAGTACTGAGATTGAAAGAGTCTTCATAAACATGATCTTAGCCATTCCCCACCTCCTCTCAATGTCCTTGTTCTGTGATTGTCTTTCTGGTTGTTGGCTAACTAACTTCCAGCTACTGAAACATGCTTTTGGGATGCATTATTTGTGTCTTTTGTTAAAGGATGGCCAGTCCCGAACAGTGAGGCAGTTCCAGTTCACTGACTGGCCAGAGCAAGGAGTGCCAAAGTCTGGAGAAGGATTTATTGACTTCATAGGCCAAGTGCATAAAACAAAAGAGCAGTTTGGTCAGGATGGACCAATTTCTGTTCATTGCAGGTAAGTAAACAAAGCCTCATATGCAGAATTGTTTTTTTCTGAAGTTGATTGCTGATTGCAGTGAAGGTGTATATGTAAATGGAATTTCATAGATGAGCTATCAGAAAATATAATCAAACAGAAGATCTAAAAAGGAACACATAGGACTGCTTTCTGAAACAGGAGCTGTTCTATGATATCCCAGTTGCACAGAAAAGATTCTTCTGAAATATGTAGAAGCATGTGATTTTTTCTTCACTCAAAACTGTCTCTAATGCAAAACAATCTGGTCAATACTACACACAGAAAGCAGTAGGAAGAGCCTTATCACAGGCTGCTATATCTGATTTTGTGGGGTTTTTTCCACTGGTAATTAAAAGTTAGGCTGTTACATTGGTGGGGATTATTAGCTGTAAACAAGCTAGTTACACCTCAGTAGCACATTAGTAGCAATCAAGATGAGACAAACAAAAATAGTAGAAAGTAGTGTTTAGAAACTTTGCCTGTCAAAAAATCATTGAGGTTTGGACTGGTGAGTTCTAACTTCAGAATGTAATGTGCATTTTTTGATTTGATGCCTTCCCTCAATTCCTTTACGATTGATATGCAGATGAAAACAGCTTGCAGGGTGTGTAGGAATAATCCAGGGTGGGTTTTTTTAATATTCTTGTATTTTTTTATTTATTTTCTCTACAGTATTCTAGAGTTTATAGCAGATGGCCAAAAATAATATCTTTATCTTTTATTTAATAAATTGCTTTCTATAAATTCCATTAGGATTTTAGATACTCTTTTTTGCAACATTAAATTATTTTTGGTAGATTAAATATTATTTATATAACAGAGATGAAAAATACTGATACAGGTTCCAAGTCCTTCCTGCAAGCCAAGTAATGCCCCAATACTAGCCAGAAGACAAAATGAACATGTTTACTAGAGTATATGAATGTACAGAGGGAGAGAGATTCTTGGCCTTCCAAAGCCAGCAACCAGAAGTTGTTAAAATACCAATGTGTTTTAACAGAGTTCCTTATGCTCCTTTAATCTGAAAGACTAAGAAAATAAATGTGTTGGACTACTTGAATCCTACTTTTTTTGTACGCCTAAAAATTTTTATGGCCTGCTAAGGAGGACAGCAGTGTTAAGGATTCATTTGGCAAGGGAAAATGAAGGACAACCATGATAAGAACAAGCCTTATTCTTCCTGACATTAATGAGTTTTGAGAGCAGAGGAGTAATAAGCAATATTTATGCCTTTATACAGACATACATAAGAAAGCAAAGTGATGGTATTCTTCTAAGTTCTTTGTACCATGCAAACTTGTCCACTTGTGACTGCAATGAAATACTGCTTGCAGTAGGTTATGCATCCCTTCCAAATGGGTGTGATCTTTCATGCTGAAATTATGGAGATTTCTACCATTGACTTTGGTAGAAACAAAGTCAAATCCAGTATAATTCATCATGGCTTGATCTTTAAATGTTTTATCATCACTGTAACATCAATTTCAAGATTGGTAATGCTAATCATCATTATGAATGTTAGTCAACTTACATGAATAGAAAACGTCCCTAGCAAATGAGTTAAGTTTAGTTGTTTCTTTCAGGAAGCACAAGATCCTGGGTACCTGCACTTTCCTAGTCTTTGTGGAATTATTGTAATAGTGCCTCTCATTTGTACAGTGATGAGTTTTAAGGATTTCTCTTGTGCAGAGAAATTCTTCAAATGACAAACTCCCCTAGTGCCACTTCCCTGTGTTCTTCTTCCCACTCTACACATTTTTCACAGGTTTGCTTTCTCTGTTGCACTGTAAACCCCTGCCACCCACAATTTTAAAATGTTCTTCTCTGGCATTTTTACAAACAGATCAGTGTGTTACAATTTAAAAAATAGTTAAAAGAGCAAAGGACTGTTCACCTTGAAGCAAAATTTTCACTTCAACCAATTTTAGATATTTATAGACTTGTTATTCCAACTTTTAGCTAGAGAGTAAGGAAGACCACCCTTTAAAAAGCATGCTTTCAAGATGTATTTTTAAGAACAAACTCTTCTCTCTTACAAAAACATCAGTACTTCCACATGACTCATTAAACCATCCTAACTTTGGTTTCTAACTGTTTAAAGTTGGGTGAATCATACTACATCATGAAGTAGTGCCTTCACTATTTACTAAATTCAGACTTGTTTAAAACCTATGTCACATTGCTTTGTTAAATGTCGTGGTAGAGCTCAGTTTGGTCTTTGACTTGCGCTGAAAGAAATCAGCTGATGGTTAAAATGGTAGTAGTACTGGTGTGGACTTCCACCACTCTTTAGAAATCCTAAGCATCTTCTGGTAGGAATTGATATAATGTTAAAATATGCTTGCCACTTTTAGGGCAGCACAGTCCATTTCCTACAGGCTTTACCAAAATATTACACTTGATGGCTAGTTTGGATTTGCAGGCATTGAGATCTTTTCATGTTAGTCTATCTTCCTCATTAAGTAGCTTCTCCAGATACTTTTTCATTTCTTAAGAGCCGAAGACAACAAACTAATTCCCTCCTTTTGCTGAAAGAAAAATTCTGAGCATTTTTTTAAAGTAGTAAAGATTTGAATTATATGTGAAGCTAGAAATCCTCACATATACTGAGAAGATCATATTTCAATGGTTGAGCAGGAACAAGAAGAATGAAAAATGGTAATCTGCCTTCATTCTGCTGGTCACTTTGTGGGCTACTTGGTATAGATCACACTGTCGTCAGCTCTGTAAAGTCTAAGGAGAGTCCAATGCTATTTTTCCAGGATTTTTTCATCATACTTCTTAAAAGTTAGCTTTCTAATTTACCTTATCATGGAAAGCAGACTTTACACTCCAGTTGCTCTAGATGTCCAGGACCATTGCCATCACATATAGGTAAACTAGCACCAAGAACATGATACTTTGTCAAATTGTCTCAATTGTCCTTTGACTTCAGCTCTCCGAAGGCACATGGGTTTTGCAAAATTGCTAAATCCAATCACATATATTTAATAGCTCTAGAAGTGCACTGATCTAGGCCAAGCACTAAAATACCATCATACAATTTGGACAGTGGATTTCCACACTAATCTCGTTAATTCACTAGATCTCTGTCATAGTCCATATCAATGTTCAGCGTTCTTCAGTCTTCCCCTGCTGTCCATGTTCTTCTGCTCTCTTGTCTGGTGAACAGGTCTTGTAAATCTCCAGCTTCCCAAGTCTATCTGACTGGAGAAAACCTTGTGAAACTATTGGCATGATGGGGTGCTTAATTTCTACCCATGCAAGTTCAGACTTGGAAAATCTTTCTTTCTGTGAAGTCACCTGTTTCTTTGTCCAAGAATCATCCTCATGAATAGGTCATTGTTTAATTTTAATAACCGACAAATACTTACTCTATTGATTACAGGAATTTCTATCGCTTCTTGGGAGTTTTAGCTAAAAACAGAAACCCAAGACAGAACAGAGAGAAAACAAGCCATAGATTCAAAGAAGACATTTCAGACTAATGCAGACAGACATGGTGTACACATGTCAGTATTGGAAAGCTAAAGATCCAGACTGCTAGACTTGAATAAAAGCTGTGTCTTAAGATTTTCGTATATCCATTAGTTGAATTGTAGTGTGTATGAACAATTGCAATATTAATTGAAAATTCACTACCTCTAACTCAAAGTAGAATGTAAACTAAAACACTGAAGATGTGCAAAACAGGGCATGTACATGACCGGGTTAAAGTAAAACAAGCAGTAAAATACATTTTGCCATCTTTTTCTCTTGTCATTTCCATCATAGATCATTGGCAACAAATGTTGTCATTTTCCTTCACCGTGCACTGATTACTGTATATCGGAATGAACAAACCAAGTCACTTTGCAATGAAGACTGGAGAGTCAGGAAGTACTTAGTAGTGCGTGAAGTTTGCTTGAGAGCAATTACTCTTCCAAATGCAATGTGGTAGTCTGCTGTGGAATTTTGCTTAGTGAGCCTTCCTCCATATAGAAATCTGTACACATATGGTGTGTTGTAACCACAGATAATTTGTCAGCCAATTCTTTCAGCATTAACTGTCAATTAACATTCCTTTTTTCCTTTCTTTTTTCTTCTTTTATTGCAACAGTGCGGGTGTTGGAAGGACTGGAGTATTCATAACCCTGAGCATTGTGTTAGAAAGAATGAGATATGAAGGTGTTGTAGATATCTTCCAGACTGTCAAAATGTTAAGGACGCAGCGGCCAGCCATGGTACAGACAGAGGTGAGGAAGACAGTATCCATATACAATGGTGATGGAAAAGAAGGGATATTTCCACAGCCAAAAAAATGCAAAGACAGAGATTATATAAAATGTGCTTACATTTATATATTAAGTCATATAGTGACTATATGACTACAGTGTAAAATCTGCCATAAAGGTATTGCAAGGACTATTTCCTGTTACAGCAGTAGATACTGCAGGCTGGGGAAGAAAAAAAACTAATTTCAGAAGTGGATCCTAAATTATGGTAGTTGAGGAAAATAATTTTCCAAGAAACATTACCCATTTTTATTTGAACCTTTGTTTCCTGGCAGAAATGTGTGGTAATAAAGAAGGAGGCAAATTGTTTCTGCAGGTGAATCCACTGATTTTTTTGTTCTGGGAGCAAAGTATTGTTCATGGCTTCAGACTGACACTGTATTATTTTCATGGTTTTCTTGACTTTGTGTCACCAAGCAAGTGGATGTTTACTTGAAAATCATAATGGTAAATTCAGCATCAAGAAAACTATAGTGTAAATAATTTCTGTACCAGCAAGAGTGCCATAGAGGAATAAGGAAAGTGATAAGCAGTATCAAGTGATTTCCTGGGCCTAGATGCTTGCAACTGTCATGTCATAAAGAATGCTTAAACATTTTCAGTTGGGCTTAATCTATACTTAAATTTCTGAACAGGAGACTTGAACTAAGCCAGAGCCAGTAGGTTATGTGAACCAAGGAAAAGGACAAGAGAAGAGTGATTCATTTATTTAGTGTAATTTGATTGACACTGGCCTTTAAATTACAGTCTGTGAAATTTAGAATGGTTCCCCAGAGTTTACCATTTTCCACAAGAAAATTAAACTTGTTCAATAAAAGCTGGGTAGTCTTATTTTTAAGATGACAACTTCATAAAAACTTATACAAAAAATAAAGATACTTATTTTTAATCTTGTCAGTTAGCCAAGTAAATCACTGTGACCAAACTGAAGAGTTAATTCCATTTCTTTTCTGTTACCATCATTCTTCTGGATAAGCAAAATGAAAAATGACTGCTTTCTGTCATTTTAGTTCCAAGAAATAACTACAGTATACAGAAAAACTGTGCTTTGTGGAGCCTACCTGACAAATACAGAGTTCAGCTATGCAATATATTCTCCCTCCTCCTACTTTGACATATTTCTGTATGTTACCCTTTATCCCTCC